TGAATTTATTCTTTATCCATATACGTGGGCATACACTGAAAGGCAAAAGTAGCCTGAAAATATACTTTTACAGTTTATGTCTCTAGAATTCAGCTTTTTAAAAGAGAGGGGCACTCTGTCATATGCATTTAAATATATTTTGGCAGACTGCCTGACATTTAGTTTTGATTATAATAAATTATTATTACTACTACCTATATGTTATGATTACTTGTTTATAGGCTCTCAGAAAAGACTAGGGAAGTAGTTTAGACTACCTGTTAAGGATGGTAAGGAAATTATTTTTATTTCCTCTAGAAGGAACAAGACTATCTTAATATCTCCAAGTAGCTCCTCCCACAGAGAAGCTCACTAAGTGCGTTACAACTTATTCGATAAAATTTCAGTATAATATATTAAAAATACAAAGAAAACGGGGACCAGCAGTTAATGTAATGGCTATGTCACTGGACTCCCATGTAGTCGACAGTGGTTCGATTCCCGGACCCGGTGGCTTATACTCACGCCAGGCGCATGTGCGTGTGTGCCCAAGATCCTGAGAGGAGAATGGAGGAGAAGGGATTGCAGCGTGGCCATCCCCCTTGGGAGGTGATTTCTCGCTTTCTGTCTCTCTGTCTCTCTCTGTCTTTCCAGCGAGTGCACATGCCCTATAGCGAAAACCTCTCAAAAAAGAAAAAAAAAAAAGAAATATAAAGAAAAAATAAAAACAAATCAGAGGCAGAGATATAGGACCTTTGAGCATTGAAAACAATCAACCACTAAACACAATACCTATAAAATAGGCCTCGGGACCAGCAGTTGGCGTAATGGCTATGTCTCTAGACTCATATATGGTCGCCCATGGTTAGAGTCCAGGACCTGGTGGCTTAAACTGTCAGGCGCGTGTGTGTGCATGCCCAGGATTCCAAGAGGAGAATGAAGGGATGGAGGAGAAGGGATTGCAGTGTGGCCATCCCCCTAGGGGATGATTTCTTGCTTTCTGTCTCTCTATTTCTTACTGGCGAATGCATGCACCCTATAGAAAAAAAAGAAAGAAAGAAATAGACCTCTCCTCAAATTAAAAAAAAAAAAAATTAATTTTGGTGAGGTTTTTGCTATAGGGCACGTGCACTCGCCCGACAGACAGAGAGAGACAGAGAGACAGAAAGCGAGAAATCGCCCCCTAGGGGGGATGGTCATGCCGCAATCCCTTCTCCTCCAGTCTCCTCTCGGGATCTTGGGCATGCACGCACACGCGCCCGGCGTGAGTTTAAGCCACCAGGTCCGGGACTCGAACTGCGGTCGACTACGTGGGAGTCCAGCGACATAGCCATTACGCCAACTGCTGGTCCCTCCTCTCCTCAAATTTAATGAAACCCAACAATAAAAAAGAAGATGAGTGCTCAAAGCTCCACACTGCCAAGTTCTCCAGTCGTGGACTAAATTGCCGACTGTTTGGGGAAAACATCATGTTTAAATGGTGGCACTATCAGGTCACTGATTCCATTTTGACATGAAATGTTCAACAATTTCTTTCTTCATAAACAGCTGACCAATTGGGAGCGTTTTCCAGAAGAGGATAAATGAATAGTGGAAGAAGAGAATAGGTACTGTCTAAAGTAAGTACGATCCCCTGCATTCATTCTTTTCCAAAAGAAAAGAATTTAAATGATTAACCCTCTGGCTAGCTGTGGTAGTGCAGTGCTCCACAATGCTGGACCCTCCTACCCCTGAAGACTGCAGGTTCATGTCCCAAGGTCTCTTATGTACGCCAGGCACACCTGTGCTTATGGTCTGGTCTGGCTGAGGCTCTGGGAGATTGTGGTGTGAAGACCCAATGGGGCTTCTCTATCTCTCTCTCCCTCTCTCTCTCCCTCTGTCTTCTCTTTCATGGAAGAAATAACCAATCTTCTGAAAAAACTTAATTCTCCCACACCACACCAATCAATTTATGCTGTCACAGGAAAACGCTACCTAATCATTCAGTGCCTGGCACAGAGCTACCGGAAGTCACACTGGACTTCGGGTAGTGGGGGCTGTGGGACTAGCAGGGATGCAGGCTGTGGAGTTGAGTACTGGGGGCAGTGCAGGAGAACCCTCCCTGGCAGTGATGGCTCAGGCAAGTTATTCTCCCCAGTAAAATAAATATAATAATTACGTCTTCTTTATATGGTCGCTGTGAGGATTACACGAAACTATTCATGTGAGACTCTTACTGGGACATAGTACGTCTTCAATACATGTTAATAGAATCTTCTAAGAAAATGAGTTACTCTGAAAAACTGAGTCTTCTCATGATTGCTTTGGATCTCATTTTAAGTGCCATTTGTCTGATCATTTTTCTGACCTTTCTCCCTACCTCAGGTGATTTGCATTCCTCGAGCCTGTGTCTCACCAGCGCTTTTTAATCATACTTGTATTATTTTTGCTCGTTCAATTCTTTGTCTTTTTGTCCAGTTTCTGTTTTTACTCCAGGACGTTAGGCTCTGTTTGAAGGAAATGGCTATGTTGTTAGCTTCTTGGCAAATCCTTGCACTTCAAGACAGCACAGTGTGCTGTAAATGTTCAGTGTGTATTTTTCAAGTCTATTTATTTTGTCCATAAAAGAGAAAGAGAGATAGAGACAGAGAGATACTCCCCATAGGGTCCCCACATTGGGGTCCATCTGTCTGCTCCTTGTCTCAGCCTGCCTGGACTGGGGGCACCTGGATGGTACAGGGAGGAGAGAGGATAAGAACCCAGGGCCTTGCCCAGGTCTGGGTCCAGTTGAGTTTATAACTGTACCACCACCCAGAATCAGCCTGTACTTGTTGAATGAATAACTGATTGATGAACTTACTAGTTTAAGAAAATTTGTCAAATGGTGCATTTGAAGCATATGATTTCAGGGACTGGTAGGTGGTGTGCTGGTTTAGGTGTTGGACTCCCATAAAACTGACTGCAGTTCAAGTCCTGGACATGGCAGCTTACTTTCTCACTTTCCTTGTCTCTCTCTTTTTCTCTGGCCAAATTAAAAATAATAATGATAAATAAAATTAAATAAATAATTAAGAAAATAAAGTACATGAATTTATGTAGCTAAAAATAAACAAAAAATCCTGCGAGGAAATAAGAGACAATACTTCAGGTAGGGTTTAGTGGAAAGAATAAGGTCTTTATTGGGCAGGGGAAAGCAGAGTAGGATTTTTTTCTTTGACTTCACTTTGTTGGGATGAGTGGAAGACTATCAGCAATGTCTGTATCTTCCCAATAACCAGGCGTGCACAGTGCCCAACAGTTGAAGACTGTGCGGAGAAAACCTTGCGTTTGCTGTAAATAAAATCACCTTGTGTCCTCAAGCCGTGAACCAGTAAGGAACCTGAACGGTTATCACATTCTACAATTCAATTTACAGATGAAGAAACTGGCTTACTTTCTCACTTTCCTTGTCTCTCTCTTTTTCTCTGGCCAAATTAAAAATAATAATGATAAATAAAATTAAATAAATAATTAAGAAAATAAAGTACATGAATTTATGTAGCTAAAAATAAACAAAAAATCCTGCGAGGAAATAAGAGACAATACTTCAGGTAGGGTTTAGTGGAAAGAATAAGGTCTTTATTGGGCAGGGGAAAGCAGAGTAGGATTTTTTTCTTTGACTTCACTTTGTTGGGATGAGTGGAAGACTATCAGCAATGTCTGTATCTTCCCAATAACCAGGCGTGCACAGTGCCCAACAGTTGAAGACTGTGCGGAGAAAACCTTGCGTTTGCTGTAAATAAAATCACCTTGTGTCCTCAAGCCGTGAACCAGTAAGGAACCTGAACGGTTATCACATTCTACAATTCAATTTACAGATGAAGAAACTGAGACAAAAGGCAATGATTTTTTGACTGGTAGAATCGGGTCTTGAATTCAGGTCTATTGACTCCCAGACCATGTGGGAGGGGGCACTAGGGCCTTTAAAAATAATCACTGCTGCTTTAATAGCATCAGCACCTGTTGTTTCGGCTTCCGCAAGGGAGAAGCTATTAATTTCTCCTTCATCAAAGCTGAATCTCTGGTCTGTCTGAACCTTGTTTTCTTCCTGCTTGCAGCTGTCTAAACCACTAAGACCAAATGTTGGACAGAGACCTTTCTGCTGGGGTTGGATAAATCGTCACGCCCAAATATAGAATGGAGAAAAAAAAAAAAGACACAAATCATCCAAATTTGTGCTGTCTTTGCTGGAGTCTCTTCATCCTGCCTGTGGTGGCCACCTCCAGCACAGCAGACCAGCCCCAGGAGTGAGAGCACTGTCAGGAACATGAGTTCTGCTCTCCCTGGGGGCCTGCGACCTGCAGTGGCCAGGGCATCAGCTGCTGGAAGCGCAGAAAGACAGTTTATCTGTACAATGGGACGTAATTATAATTCTTTGGGAAGTTTTCAGAATCAAACTGAACGTTGAATGCCAAAGATCCTCACTGAGCAAATTGTTTGCTTCTTTTTGTTATCCTTGTGTAAGCAAGGTCTGGACTGCTTAATTAAGTTTTCTGCCGCGGTAATCCTGGTAGGGGGTCCCCTATCCGTGGCCACACCTTTCTCCACTGTCTGGGTCCGAAAGCGAAGGGCTCCGGCACCTCGGAGCCTGCAGGGGCGGAGGGAAGCCAGCGCAGCACGCATGCGCACCCCGGCCGCCGCCGGCTCTCATAAGAGCGCAGTACAGCCCGGCAGCGAGCTGAGTAGGAGGTGGGCTGGCGCCGTGCGCGGCGGGGGTGCGGTGGCTGGCCCGCTCGGCGTCTCTCCTGCACCGC